ATATATAATATAAACTTAAAATGTGGCATGATTTGTAATGCCTAATATTAGTTTAGTGAACACCTTCATATTTCATATTAGAATTAATATTGAAATTATTAAAATACATTTTCGAAGGAGTTGTGAACGTGAACTCATATTTCCTTAAGGAACTAAGTAGTTATATCCTGACTAAAAATTTTATAAATTATTAATATGAATTATTATATATTATAAAAGTTATATTTAGTTTAAAATTGATATATATTGTTTTATATTTTGTTCATTGAAATTATAGAAGGTTATAAAGTGTTTTGTATACAGAGTAATTCTATTGGTACCCTTAAAATCTTATTATATATTAGAACAAAAAAAAAACGCTTTTCTAGGAATTACTTAGTGTTCTCAGATTTTCAAAATTTTTCTTTTGACAAAAGTATTCAGTTACAAGACTCTGGGAAAATATTGGCAAAAGTCGCAAAAATTTTCGCCGTTCACCCGTAAGCGTTTTAAAATTTCGACCGTTTTCGAAAAAAACACTCGCTGACGGCATCGTTATACGATTTAAGGTTTGAAATTTTTTGTGCATATGTTTATTGTGACCTCTAATTAGTAAAATATGAATTTTTATGACGATTCAATTTTCTATTTATTTTAATTTTAATATATTGTTCTTGTTATGTATGAATTCATTGTGTTATTTTATTAACTATGCAGTATGTCTTTATTTTGTCTTCACGGTTTAAATGGCTACCGTATGCTATTTTTGTGTTAAAATTTTCGATTTTATATTTTACATTTTTAACTTTATATTTCTATAACTTTTTGAAAAATGTTTGAATTATTACAAATTTTTTATGATAATTACTATTTATATTCTTCTTTGTTTCGACATACTATTTTTTAATCAGACTATTTCAGTCTCCATTGTGCCACGACCCCAATATACTGGATTTTTTTTTATATCCAAGCAGACTTTCTACACATCTGGAATGTGGGCTTCGAAAGGTAATTTGTTGATTACTGTGTTCAATATTTCTGCACCTTGTTTTCTACGTTGTCTCTGTTTAACCATTATTTTCATATTGACGATTATTATTTGATGACGTGCGATGGGTTTCAAAAAATAGACCCTCACGCTACCTATTGTGAATTTTGAGAAATGTAATGATGTTGCATCCAGTAACACGGTAAACTATTGCCAAACACAATACGTGCATTGATTTGCAGACCATCAAATTGTGGAAAAACTAACTTGATGTTTAACTTACTGACTGATATCAAAAAACTGAAAAATTCAGAGAATTCAAAGAGTTTTGCAAAGAGTGTTGGAACAAGGACCGGTACGGATTTGCAATGATTTGTTTGGACTATGCGCGTGACGACGTTCAAAACAGATACTATTTGTAAATTTATAAATAGTTCAGCGATATGAGTGCAACTGGTAATAGTTTACGTGATGAAAAATTAACTATTGATGGAAGCCCGGCAAAATGTCCGAATAAATCACACGGAACTGCGTTGTGGCGAAGCCGATTCATTGACTCGCGTAAAACGTGAATTGGCGCTAATCATTGATCCATTAGATAAAACTGTGTCACAGCAACAGCAGCAGCAATAACAACACGAACAACTACAGCAATCCATCAAAAGTTTAAATTATAATAGATACAATATAGAACATGATGATGGCTTTTTCCATCAGTACATGCACCAATTGTCAATGAACCCAAACAGAAATAAAATGTATGGACCAAAAGTGTCACCGGATGGAACACTGGCAATAGGTGGAGATGACAATATCTTCGTCGATGATGGAATAATTTTTGTATTGGAGAAAAGATTCCCGCTGACTTTGAATCTTGTAGATTTACTTTTTTCGAAAAATTATTACTTCGAATCGGATTTGCATGCATACAAAAAATAAAATTTACTCGAAACTGGTGTGAATAAAGACGGAATATTGAAAAAAGGAAGTCAAAAATACTTTAACAATATTAAACCATTGTTTGAAAACGGTGACAGTGGTAGTGCAAACAATTTATTATCATTATTTGAAAACAACAACAGCAGAAGCATCAGTGATATATCCATTTCGGTGCGGGACTATGGTTGAGGCTGAACAACAAGATTACGTGTACTGAGACGAACCTGACGAGCTCGTAGATTGTTTACGTTTATTGATATCAGCTCGGTCGGCTGGTAATACTGTAGTTTCACCGGAAATCGTTTCTATATTGAAAGAGCTGTAGGAAGACGGTTACATTGAACAGATACCATCAACGTTATGAATAAGAACATTTCTAACAAACTCCACCGGCAGGCCCGTAGAACGTATACCCGTAGCCGGATAAATATCAAGGGTCTCGATGATATATGGCACGCTGACCTCGTGGAAATGCGTGTATACCCTGATCGACGACATCGGTATATTTTAACGTGCGTCAATTTTCAAAATATGCGTGGGCCGTTCTCTTAAAAATAAAATAGCCAATGAAGTTACCGCAACTATGAATGTAATATTAAAACAAGATCGTCATCCTAAACTTTTGCAAACGGACAATGGTAAAGAATTCTACAACAAATAATTTCAAAAACTGATGTAACAATAAGCAATTATTAACTATTTAACTTATTCCATGATGAAAGCATGTCTCATAAAACGTTTTAACCACACGCTGAAAAACGCAATGTGGTGTGATTTTAGTTTACGTGGCTCATTCAAATGGGTGAGTCAGTTGTCTGCGCTGTTGCACGAATACAACAACGTGTGTAAACATAGAAAAATAGGAATAATATCGGTGCAAGATATGCAAAACCTAGACCGGGTTCGACTCAAATTACGCAAAATATTCGATAATTTACTGCCAAAATTCCAAGGTTCGGATTAGTGGACATAAATCAGTGTTTGACAATGGTTACATGCCAAACTGGAGTATCGATTTGTTTACTGTAGTCAAGGTTAAGCAATCAGTACCGCCAACATACTATCTAGAAAACTATCAGGGAAATCCAATACGTGGTGTGTTTTACACCAAAGAGTTGAACAAGACCAGTAATCCAGATATGTATTTAGTCAAACGAGTGTTACGGACACGAGGAGGCCAGTGCTACATTAAATGGTTAGGGTTTGAACCAGAACACAATTCATGGATACCGAAAAAAATTACCTCACCTCAATGATTGTCGATATACAAGGTATTGTGGTAACCGATCGTTTTTGGTCAAGAAACTGCCTGTCATTGTCATTGACTGTACTTCGTTCGCTCATTGGTTGTTCTAACATCTAAAAAGTATCAAAGTCGATGCTAAAACAAACTTTTGGTTGAAAAAATATCTACATGGATTGGATGCGGGGACGTTGAATACAATGAGTTCCCAAGAATCATGAAACTGTTACGGTGCGAGAACATATACGTGAAGGGACCTGTGTATAAGCAAGTAGTGGACTATCTTCCACTGTACAATTTAAGTTGTGTTACAAAACCTTGTTGTATCCGACACATGGAAAACCCCACTGTGTATAGTTTATATAAAACAATATGTTTAAAACAATGGATGATTTATAACATTTAACATTATTGTCGAAAAATGCACAATTATTTTGTAATATTTATTTGTATTCGTACAATAAATATATTTTCCATAAATAAAATGTATATTAATGATTCTAGTAAAAATTTGATGCATTTTAAAAAAAAAATACTGAATATAATACCATTTTTTTTATGAAAATAAATTGTTATTCATTTAAAAAATAATGTCCCCAAGAATAATGTATTTTCTCAAATAACATATCTTTAATTAGTATAAATAGGGTAAAATAGTGAGTTCTAGGCCCCTTGCCTCACTCCTCACCCTCAAGGGTATGGTGGGGAGGGGAAGGCGTGGATTTTTTTATGATGGTGGGGATAAGGTCATTCAAAATGGCGGTACTATTAAACTATAGTACACATGCGACTATAATTCTATGCCAAGGGTGGGAGAGATGGTTCATATCATCACCTCCT